TAATAATAATAACTATTTAATCTGCATCTTCATTTTCACTTCAAAAACAAAAGTTTGGATAACAGAGTGTCTGACTTGTGGATATCATACTTCAGTTGTATTTTAAAGTCATCACCATAACTGAGACATGACTAAATTACTTGATAATTAGTAGAAGACTTAATAATTATTGTAACTCTGCATTAAATTGACGGGTGTTTGTCTAATTATTTTTGAACATGATATTTTTGTTTGTCTTTTGCTCCTGAAAACATGATCGTTTGTGTAGAACTAATCACCCTAACGTTAAAATAGTCATGAAACATGAACATCAGAGGCAGCGTTCTTAGACTTCACACCAGTAGATGTGGGCCCTGCTCACAGCTACACACACACCTGCTGACTGCCTCACACACGTGCACACTCACGCTCACACCAACCTGGTTTTTGGCCGCGGCGCTGCAGCGGTGCTGGGCCAGGTCCAGCATGGTTCGGTAGCTCTTAAAGCAGGACGGGCAGTTGAATCGGTTCTTATGAACCAACCCCACACACGCACACATAGACACACACAGACACACACACATAAGTTTGGATTACTACACTTGAAGTGTGTTCATTCTGAGACGTCTGAGCCTGACTCTTTCCCTAAACTCAGCCTAACCCTGGTCTGATCCTGACTCTGCAGCACACACACACGGTGGGCCGGAAACTGGTCCAAAACAAGAAGCTTGGAGAAACTGAAGCTGGAAAGAGGACAATATGTTACATACACACACCATTAAAGAAAATTATCCTGCATTTTGTTACCGAGCGTGCACATATAACAAGTGTTTATATGACTGCAGCATAAAGAGGTTTTTATGTGCCTTATATCTTTATTTTTTTCTCCAAATTCCACCTTTTTTGTTTATCTGAATTCCACATTTTCATTCTAATTATATTTATTAATCTAAATTACAGTATAAAGTGATTGAAAAATGATTTAATAAAATAAAAACAGCCACAGAATTCAAAATTTAATGGCTGTTACTTCACTTTCACAAATACAACTAATTACTGTGGGTCAGCAGAACATTTAATGCTTTTGAAACGTATTTAAAAGTATAATATGTCTTTTTAAACAATAGAAATGTTCTTCATGGATCAAACTGAATCTCACATCAAAACATCAGCCTTTTATTAAAACATGTTAGAGTAGAACTTAACATTAAAACATGTTTCATAAAGAAACAGAAAACCTACAAACTGTAACAACTTGTGCAAACTTGCCTATTGAGCTTTACTTCTTCCAACTCTGTGACATCATCTTAGATAGACCCAAGCCTCACTTCTACTGATGCAGGAGCATGTTGAAGAGTTTGCAGGCGTTTGTCTCGCTCAGCTTGCTTCTTGTGTTTCTGATGTGAGTCTTTGACTATAAGTGGTCATCGCATGTATTCTTATGAGTCTAGTGGATTGTGTGCTGACAAAACTTACAGAAAAGTTCTCCAGATTCATAAGAAATAACTGAGGTATTATTCTGCCTTCATTTTTTAATGGAGAACGTTGGTTTTGGTCAAGACTAACCCATGTTTTGTCTGTGTGAAGAGGAGAGCCCACCCAGGTAACAGCAGCCAAATACCTCAGAAACTTTACCTACTCGCCAAAACCAGCAAATTCCTTGAAATTCTGCGTTTTATACTGAATTAATTTTTGTTTGTTAAATACTGTGATTCTGTCCACGTTTTCGACATCGAGGAAATCGTAGGTCCCTAATTAACTTTGTTCTTTAAAGCCATTTCAATTTGAACCGAAGCGTGATGACAGAGAGGACACTAAAGAGATGACTCGGCACGTAAAGGAGACTTAAGAAACCGGCAGCCAGGTGGTCCTGGAAGGTGTGTTTGTCACATTATTCGAATCAGACGTTGTCTGACTACCTCAGAGGTACCAGAGGAGGGGTTTTCAGTCCCCCCCTCTCCACCTCTGTGTGTCTTCTGTATGGACCAAGGAGGTCAGAGCACATGTCAGTGTTGTCTCAAAGAGCCTACTGTGAATATTAGATCCTAGAAGCAAGACTGCAGCCACTGGTTCCTGGGCAGTAGGGCTGTGCGGTATACGTACATATACGCCTATATGCCTACAGTAGAAATTTACCCTCTACCGKCCTATCGTCAGTTACGTCATCGCACCTGTGTTAACATGGCTGCTAGTGCAGAGACAAGTGAGCAGGAGGAATTCAAAATATTCTGAAAATAAATGAAGAAATATAGTGTTTTAAAACACGCAGAGGAAAAAATCCTCAAAATTTCCTCCTCCCGCTGTAGAAAAGTTGTGTCGCGGGGTCACGTTGCACAGAGCGAAGCTTTAACAACCGTAGTTTTTTCACACCCAAGTTGTCGGAGAAAAAACTTGTTTTTTTAAGTATTGTTACCCACAGAGATGATTAAAAAAAGATGTTGACGTTCATTTAGTCATAAATCCATCTTGCTAATGTAAAGTCGGCTCTACTCTGATGATGAAGATGAGCGCGCAGCAGCAGCTGATAAGTTCAGCAAGCAGAAGCTCAATGTATGGCAGGCAGATATTACATTTATTTGGCTTCACCACACTTACATTCCAGTTATCTGAAATTGTTTTATGACTAGGACAACGAGCACACTTAAGCCCCTTAAGGTCCTGTCACACTATAACATTTTAGGCAACATTGAATTTTTTTATGTCTAAATGAGTAATTTTACTTCAAGTACTGGTTATAACATCCACTTTATTTTGATATAGTTGAAAATTTGAGAAATGTCTTTGTTTGTTGCTGAAACGGTTTTACAGTATATATAAAACATTCATATGTACTTCTGTTATGTTCATTTGCACTACAGCAAAAATACTGGCTTTGATTATGATTACAGTTTTCTGCTAAATAAATGCTCTAAAAATTACATTATCTTTGCTTTTTATGATCATTTTCGACCACGATATATACCGTTACCGTGAAGGGATTCAATTTATACCATGATATAATGGTGGTATGGTCATACCGCCCAGCCCTACTGGGCTGTATATGAAACTATGTGGCTGAAATAACCACGCCCACTTCACATATCTGACCAATCACACAACAGCTGACCCAAACCCCTAAAAAGGGTTCTGTCCAGAACTTGTGTTGACAACGGGCTCTCAGGAGAACAAAATTATGTTATTTTGATCACACATCTGAATCACAGAGCAGATTTTTTCCCACTGTCGCTGAGTAAAAACCCAGATTTACATCACCATTGTTTTATAATTACAGGCGTAGACATAACCATTGTTTAAGTTGTCCGAGACAACCTGTTTTCATTTYGGACAACCAGATCCTGTCTCCTGGTTGTCCAGTGGACAACCAAGAGAAAAAGACCTTGATTACAGTTCTCTGCCGTGGGTGCCCGTCATTTATAAAAATGAAAGGGAGAAAAAACTTGGTAAAACCAAACAGAACACTAAACTGTAACTTTTAATAAGGTCATGTACACAGTATATTCCTATTTAAGTGAAAATGTTTGACCTATGAGCAGAAAAAGTTTATGAATGTTGGGTAACCTCTAGATTTTATTAGCAACAGTTTTGCTGCTTTACTCCCTGAGCCTTAAATACTGTCGTCGCATGATTTACCAAGAATGCAGAAACACGTTGGAATAATGCACAGAAAGTCTGCGTGTATGGTCGTAAATAATGATTTAATTCTGAGCGACAAACAAACAGGACTCAATCAGGAAGCTCTGTCGGCTTGTGGCTGACACGTCAGCAGAAAGCAGCCAATAATATACACCATGATAACATCATATGACGTGCTTATAACCAATCACAGATCGACTAATGTACTGTCCAGCCAATCAGAGGGCTCAAAGAGTTTCTTATCAAACAAGAGAGGTCAGTCCGTTGCAGAGTCCTGACGTCTGGGCAAACAGATTTGACAATGATCATAAGTTATATGAGTACTGGACAGCGTCAAAGGTGAAACAGATAGATAATTAGTCCATAACATACTCTATATCAAAGAAGAGAATGAGGAACAATTATATAAAATAAACTTTGTCTACAGAACAATATACTTGTTAAATTAGATTTTTCTTGATTCTTTTGGACAAMCAAWATGWTTTGCGGACAACCAGGTTTTGTCAACAGTTTGTCCGCTGGACAACCTGAAAAATATCCTTATGTCTACCCCTCAATAATATTGAAGCATAATTCTTTTTACACCTATAATCAGAAAAGGTTGAAGTTAAAGTTTCTTTAAAAGTAAATAAAGTTAATTATACTGCTATTTTCACATAGGAAACTCTTTTTAATAACTTGAGTAAGAAGTTGTACGTTTGAATGATTTAAAGATACATTTTTAATCTCATATATTTAATATTTATGACAAAGAAAAAAAATCTGACATCTTTAGTTTTTCACAGGATGTAAATAATGAGATTTAATTTATTTTCGGTGTTAAGCGCAAGCTCTGTACCACCTGATTACCTCCTGTTTGAAGGTTGGCTGCTAAAAACCGACACAAACTGAGCCACTATCTGTGACGTGAAGCTTGGACCAGCAGCAGCAGTGTGAAGACGCACCTGGTTGGATGAGGCGGCGGTGCAGCGGTGCTGTGCCAGCTCCAGCATGGTCCTGTAGCTCTTACAGCAGGAGGGACAGTCGAAGCGGTTCGGCCCGTCGTCGTGTATCCTCTGATGGTTACGGAGGTACCTCGCCAGGCGGAAGGCCTTCCCGCACAGGTCGCACATGTAGCGCTTCTGACCGTGGATTCGCATGTGGTTGCGCAGGGACATGTAGTTGGTGTACGGTTTGCTGCAGAAGTCGCATCTGAGTTTGGAGACAAGAGGTTGGAGGTTAGAGACAAACGAGGACATTTACCACACGTAAAACCGACRGGGTTTTGAACGCTCACTTGAAGTCCCCGATCCTGTGGGTGAGCTTGTGGTTGAGCAGCGAGCTGGCGTGCTTGTAGGCGCAGGGGCACAGGTCGCAGACGTACGGCCGCTCGTCCGACTCCATGTCGTCTGTGGCTGCCGGCGGCGGCGCTCGGGACTCCATGGAGAGAGACGCCGAGGAAAGACTGGAGCTGGACAGGGCTGCGGAGGACGAAGGAAGCTGATCGCACCAGTTGATCGTGGAACTTGGCTGYGAACGAAGAATTGAGCGTGTTAAAAACTGAACAATTTAAGAAGTAATAAAACTTTATTTTTAAACGCGATCCCTACTCAACAATATTGTCTCCCTGTTTTCAACAAAACATGTGTGCCGAGTGATTAGCTGACTATGAACTATTAAAGAAATAGACAAAGGAGCTATTTCCCCTTCAGGATCTGATCACATCCAGCTTAAACATTTTCAGACCACCTTTACAACAAAAAGAGACAATAATATAAAGCAAAAACACCGTACAGAAAACAAACATGGACATCTGGCAGGGGTAGACATAACCATTGTTTAGGTTGTCCGAGACGAACTATTTTCATTTCAGACAACCAGATCCCGAGAAAAAGACATTGATTAAAGTTCTCTGCCGTGGGTGTCTGTGAAATGAAAGGGAGAAAAAACTTGGTAAAACCGAACAGAACACTAAACTGTAACTTTTAATAAGGTCATGTACACAGTATACTCCTTTTTAAGTGAAAATGTTTGGCCTATGAGCAGAAAGAAGTTTATGAATGTTGGGTAACCTCTAGATTTTATTAGCAACAGTTTTGATGCTTTACTCCCTGAGCCTTAAATACTCTTTTTCAAAAAAGAGAATGAGGAATTTTATTCACGCAGATCCTGTCAACCTGGCTGACTGGGAACAATTATATAATAAACTTTGTCTACAGAACAATATACTTGTTAAATTACATTTTTCTTGAGATTCTTTTGGACAACCAAAATGTTTTGCGGACAACCAGGTTTTGTCAACAGCAGGCACAGATGAGGTAAATGAGAGGGAAAGCTGCAGCAGACACCAGGAATGATCCCAGACAGACCTTACAAACATGATGTTACAACAGGTCACATCACCTAAAGAAAAACAAACCTGTCATTCAAATATACCTATAAAGAATTCTTGCTTAAAAAAAGAAGAAGAAAAAGAAAAAAGCAAAAGTAAATTGTGTGCTAATGTGAGCTAGTTGTAATTACTGCTGCTCCGGTCTTAAACTGAATTTCTCATTGCCTTTTTATCATGAACAATTAAGCATAGCAATAAATATTTTTACCTGTGTTCATTTGTCTGCACCATTGTCAAAACWTCTCTTCAACCTCTTAGCAGAGTTTAAGGATTTCTCAGAAATAATCACGTCAGAAACTCAATCAGTTATACAGAGACACTGAGCTCAAATTTGATGGCAGTAACATCGACAACACATACATACAGAATATGTGTGGCTAAAAGCACCTCTAGACCTTGATTTGTATTTGTTTTAAGTGTAATTATTTCCACTCATCTAACATGCTGCAGAACAAAAACAAACAAACAGCTGTGAGGCACTGACAACACTGTTTGACACTAAATGAATGCATGATCTGTTTTGTCATTCGATGCTTCAGAGTTGTGTTCTTGCTGCTGCACAGAATAAATGTAACTTTCTCCAGAAGAGAGAGGACTGCTGAACTTAAGTAACTCAAAAACTTTTATAAACCCTGGCTGTCAGTCACTTGAGGACTCATTTCTCTAAAAGAGATGATCACCCCAAACCGGCAGCAGAAACGCGTTAACAACACGCTCAAATGTAGCGAGGGAAATGTCTGAGAGCACAGATGAATGTGTGGGTCTGTGCAAGGTGGAGATGATTTTTTGGTCGGCTGAATACGACCGTGAATAAACCGCAGCCTGGCATCACAAAGGGCCCTTTCAGGATCCTCCGCGGGGCGTCTTCCGCTAACGTTTCCTGTCCAACACCGTGGTTTGTGTTTACTTTGTTCGCTAACAACAACAATACGGCCCTCACACACATATGCACCCAACTACTGATTTTAAAACAACGTGAGTCACAACACAACAGCTAGGCTTTTAGTCGTGAATAAAAGTATCTAAAGAAAGACTGCCTGGTTTTGCACACTGTGGTGCTAGCTACAGCTCCTTGTGTTTGACTCAAACAGATTAGCTCATGCTAATGCTAAAAGATGCTCCGATACGTTACTTCCAACATAACTGTGTCTACCACGTCTCTTCAAGGCACAATAATGGCTGGACTTTATGACAAATATATTCTTTGCTCTCAGCATTTGAGTATGTCTATTTAAATAAGACGATATTAAAAAGGCTAACCGCTTAGCCTCTACGGCAGCTATGAATTGATAGGCCAGGAAGCGCACAGGTTAGCCGGATGCGTTCACACAACCTGCAGCCTAAAAACACAGGAGAGCCACAAATCTGCGCTGCAGAAACCAAACCAGGTACGAACAGAACAATGCTCCGTTGATTTATTGTCGCACAGAATGACTTCCCATTGATTGCCTGCTTGCTGGCTAATAATAAATGGAAACAACTGTGTTTCTTACTCCGGAATCGTTCGGGTCCTTTTTCCAGAACAATTGAGAGCAGTGGCCGAAAGACTCTGTCGAAGAGACGTAGTTCACTCCGTTTCTGTCCTGAAAATCTCCATGCGTGCTGCCCGTGTTCGTCCTGGCATACATCGTCGGTTTTCAGGATTTTCTGACGTTTTGGGCTGAAAACAAGCAGGGCCGCTTTGTTGAGATCTTCCGAAAAGCAAAATATTTCTTCGGCGGAATAAGCATTTTGGCGGCGGACTCATCGAGACAAAAAAAGACATTACCGMCCCCTGCAGGACCGGAGGGACTGAAAACATACAAAACCTTTTTTTTAATAAACGTTTGTTTTTATTGTGCCGAGCAGTTTCAGCTCATTCTTTTTTCTTTTTTTTTCTTTTTTTCGCCACTTCAGTAGAAAACAAAACTGAATGTTAGTTTCTTAATTTCTGCACCATCAGTGGCTTTTTTTTAAAATAATACTATAGTAAGAAAGAAAAAGAAAAATTAGAAGAGAAATATAAGAACAGCAAAGAGAGAAACTGATAGAAATTATACAAGAAGTGAAATGAACACCAATAACACACAGGACACCACACCCGACATTTGACCATCACACACAATCAGGCACATACACATACAAACATACACATATACACACACATACATGCATGCATACATACCTACCTACACACACACACACTCACAGTATGCATGCAGTTTCAGCTCATTCACGAGATGACACCCTTTTTAACTTTTACATTTTAAACATGTATATTTAACTATTTAACATTTTGTCCAGTGGCATGGTTGATGCCGCCTGCAATTATCCTAGTTAAATGTTTTATTTATTTATAGATATGTGAAGGGGTGGGATTAAATAATTTATATGCTTCTTCCCACTTCTCTTCAACACGTGAGATACACAAAAAATTAGCAATACTTTTGCAAGATTTTATTTGTCTTTTTGTTTCTCTTTTTGCTTAAAATTAGATAGTTAACATGTTCAAAGAAAACAGAAACAAACAAGATTTGGAGCCTTGGACTGTGGACTCTAGTGTTTCCTGTCTGCTTTCCTGAAAGCAGACAGGAAACACAGACAGGATTCCATGCAACCTTCAGGTGAAAATGGAGACCCCAAACCCAGACCCAAACCAGTGGTTATTCCGTATGTTGCGGGTGTTTCGGAGAAACTGAGACGTTTATTTTCTGAACATGATGTCC